ATGCAGTTCATTGGGCATTGTTAACCTGGCGGCACTTCCTAGAAGGCAGTAAGACCCCTTTTGAAGTCTGGACTGATCATAAAAATCTAGAAGCCCTAAAGACCCCAAGGAAACTCTCCCCAAAACAAGTACGATGGGCTCAGTACTTTAAATGGTTTGATTTTACTCTAAAATACCTCCCGGGGGGGGGGGACTTTCTGGCGGATGTGCTATCCAGAAAACCGCAATACAACAGTGCAAAGTCAGACGTAATCAAACCTATAGTACAAAACAACCAATTAGCCCAGTGATGGCTAACCTTTTTGCCATCGCGTGCCAGGAAGGGGGAGGAGCACGGGGGGGTCACACACGTGCGTGCCCATACCCATAATTCTATGCGAGCCACCCACCCCCCACTCCTGGCACGCAATGGCCCGGAAGGCCCATTTTTCTTTCTCACCTGGCTCCAGGACCTCTCTAGGCATCTGGGGAGGGTGAAGACAGCCTTTCTTACCCCTCCGGAGGCCACAAATGGCCCGTTTGACAACTTACAGTCCCATCGGAAGCTGAGCTCGTGTGCCCACTGATATGGTTACATGTGCACCTGTGGCACGCATGCCATAGGTTCGCCATCACGGAACTAGCCACTAAAGTAGTCACCATATCCCAGGAAAAACAAGAAACATTGATGGACAATGACACCATCCAAATTTTTAAACAAGCATTGGCCACTGATTAATGGTTTTTGAACAACAAATCCAGCTGTCTGATGAAAGAAGACTTGGCTTGGGTGGGTGGGAAGTTGTATGTCCCTGCAAGCCAAAGACTATGCTTAATGGTAAGGTGCCAAATTAGCTGGACATTTTGGGTTTGTGAAAACTTTAGACCTGATTAAAAGACAATTTTGGTGGCCATCACTAAAAAAGGACATAGAAAGCTATGTAGCTAGCTGCCCCATTTGTGCAGCAGCAAAAAGACGCCAGGGGAAATCCCCAGGTCTATTGCAGAAGGTAGCTGAACCTTCAGCACCTTGGAGAGAGATCGCTATGGATTTCATTGTAGAATTGCCAAACAATGAGGGAAATACTGTTATTTGGTTGTGACAGACCTATTTTCAAAACAGGCACATTTTATACCCTGCCAAAAGATCCCAACTGCTAAAAGTTTAGCCAAATTATTCCTAATACACATTTATCGACTTCATGGTGCTCCACAAAGGATCATCTCCGACAGAGGGGCTCAATTCACCTCCAACTTTTGGAGGGTGTTTTTGGGCTTACTTGGTACTGGCCAGGGGTTGAGCACATCCTTTCATCCTTGTACTAATGGTAATTCTGAAATTTTAAACTCGATGCTAGAACAATATTTAAGATGTTTCATTAATTTTCAACAGGATAACTGGACCGAATTTTTGCCTTTTGCTGAAATTGCATTTAACAATGCTGTACATTCAAGCACTGGTTTTACCCCTTTTAGAGTAGCAACAGGCCAGGATTTCAGCCCCATGCCTGAACTATCCACAGAAGAACCCACCATCCCCTCACTTAAGGAGTGGATGGATAATTTGCAAAACACGTGGCCAGTGGTTAGATTAGCTTTACAGGAAGCTAGAGAAGCTTTTAAGATTCAAGCTGACAAGAAAAGGATGGAAACCAAACCTTTTCATATTGGAGACAGAGTATACTTATCTACAAAATTCTTGAAATCATTACAACCATCAAAGAAACTAGGGCCAAAGTTCATTGGACCTTTCCCTATCACTAGAATCATCAATCCAGTAGCAGTTCAACTATTCCTTCCAAAGACACTCAGGCAGATCCACCCAGTATTCCATATCAGTTTACTGAAACGAGAAGTAATCTCATCCCTCAGATCACCTGCATCCACACCACCTGTGCCCATCATGATTGAAGGTGAACAACACTTTGAAATCAAGGAAATCCTTGATTCTAGGATCCACAGAGGGAAAATCCAATACTTAGTTGCTTGGAAACATTTACCATCAGCACACAATGAATGGGTTGCTAAACACCACGTTAGGGCTCCATTCTTACTGAGAAAATTTCACTCCCAATATACTAACAAACCTTGTTGATCTACTATCATGAAATCTTGAAATCTTGGGTATATTGTTTTTTTTTTTTTTTTTTTTACAGGCGGACCCTTTTGTTTTCTAAGGAGGGTAGCATGTCAGATCCCTAAAAGTGATACTGCCATTCAAGTGGAGGAAGGGGGGACTTGGATTTGATTTACTAGCATGACCTGTGTCATCAGATATTTTACAACCTATATCCTGGCATCAAGGAAGCCTGAGATTCCCTTTACCTGCAGGAATTTTTATGATAGCCATGTGGGTTGTCTCACTTTAAAGGGTAGTGATGGGAATGCATGTTTTTTCGGGTTCTCAAAGGAATAGTAAAGAAAGCATCTTTACACTTGTGTATTGGCTAAAATCTGCATTCTGACTTAAAGGGAGGGGTCTCTACCACTTTAATCCTACTGCTTTGCCTAAGGGTATTCAGATTGTGCTTTAGCTGGATGGCTTCCACTTCTGCTTAATAAAATAATCCTTTTGAACAATTACATTTCAAGAGTTCGTACTTTCTTAAGTTGGAAGGAGAGGTGATTTCTGACAGTATACAATAATATAAGCAGGAGCCAATAACAATATAAGCAGGATAACAATATAAGCAAGAGCCAATAACAAAGCTCAATTCATAACAAATGATTTCTAGCAGTATATCATATCAGAAGCAAACAGCATATTGGTTTGATCACTATGCTCCTTCACTATATACATAGAAGATATAGTAATCCAAATAAAAGTATGAGGTAAGAAAAATATAAAAAAGTATAGATTCATTCCTCCAATACTATAATTGCAACCCATTCTTCTTTATCCCATATCCATACATAGTATACCTACCTGTTTGCCCTTTAAACCTTCCCCCTTTTACTTTACATGGAAAAAATAGAAAAAGAGTAGAAAGCATGAACATCAGAATAGTCTATATATGGAGAAGTGTATTGAAGAAGTAATAAGAAGATGGGTTGAGGCATCAGGAAAAATGATACCATAACTTTAAAGAAAAACATAGTGTAAAAAAAAGCATTAGCCTCCCAAAGCTTTGGTTCCTCTTTTATTCAGCACCCTTTTCCCATCTGGATACATGCCAAAGAAATCAACTGAGAACCATGAGTCATTAAGCAAGTACCCACCCGAATCCAACCATTCTGGCCTCTCACCAAACCTCAATAAGGTTAGGGACAATCTTCTCTAGCTCTGGCCTTTGGGCTGCTCTGCATTGCATGACGGCAAGTTGTCCCACAACTGTTTACCACCCATTGGGAAGCCACAAATACCCCAGCCCAGTGCCAGCTGCAATTCCCCCTCACCACCCTATACACCACCCTATACACCCAAACCCCCTGCCACCCTGAGCTTTGTAGTCACAGTTAAACTTTGCTGTTTTCCTGCTTCCATTGCTGATGAAGAATGACCAGCCAGCTGCTAGATCAAACTGGTGTGGACTTCAGCTGTGGAAAAAAGAAAAGTTAAAAGAAGCCCCAGCATGCCAAACACCCTTTTACAAAAAACTCCTGGAGCACAGAATGCAAAAATGCCCCTTTGCAGAAAATGTTCCTGGGCCAGGCTAGCAAAGAAAAAAGGAAAAGGAAAAAGGAAACAAAAACAAAAACAGCCCCCAAATTATAGCATGCCAAAAAGTCTTTTTGCCTTTGCTGCTTTGGGCTTTTTATTTTTATTTTTATTTTTATTTTTATTATTTTATTTTATTTTATTTTATTATTTTATTTTATTATTTTATTTTATTTTATTTTATTTTATTTTATTTTATTTTATTTTATTTTATTTTATTTTATTTTATTTTATTTTATTTTATTTTATTTTATTTTATTTTGGAATGCAAAGCCTGGCTCACCCAGAAGCTCTTTGCAAAGGGGCTTTTGGTATGCTATGGCTCTGGGGATATTTTTGGCTTTTTTTTCACAGCATGAACCCCAGGCCTAGGCCTAGATGGCAAAGGTCAGCTGGGGCAGTACAGCACAAGATGGCCAGGGCATGGGGAAAACATAGGTAGGTAGTATTCCTGCAGTCGTAAGTGCAGGTAGTCTTCTAGGCTCCCAAATTTTGATTATATGACACAGTGGTGGGTTGCCCCCGGTTCGCACTGGTTCTATAGAACCGATAGTAAAACCGGCGGGAGGCTCCGCCCACCGACCCCGACGTCATCAAAATGCTTCTGCACATGCCCCGCTGTGAAACGGTAGTAAAGGTAAGTAGAACCCACCCCTGATATGACCATAAGGCCACTGTAACAGTTGTAACTTTGGGTATGAATCCTAAGTTTCTTCATTTAGCACTGTCATAACTTTGAATGGTCACTGGGTGAATTATCATAAATCAAGGTCTACCTATACATTCTTAAATTGTTCTATAAGCTGACATGTTAGAATTGTGGATCAGTTTTTAAATCTATAAATAGCTTCTAGGATAAATTAATATGGCAAATCGGAGGTAAGAAGTACGAAAATATATTTTCAAGTATGCTGAAAACTAAAATATAGTATTCTGACCCAAAGAGGAAAAAAACAATGTATTTATTTTTTATAACAATTTATTGTTACTAGACATAATGAATTTACATTATATAAATTATCTATACATTCAAATAATGCCCCCATACACAAGATGAAGCTTTCACCAGGTTTGGGAGCGACCAATATTTTAGTAGATTGCAAAAGAATAATAATGGTGATGATAATAATTATTAATAATAACAACAACTTCAGGAAAACTTTCAAAAGTCCCTCATTAACTGAACTTTTTGCACACACACAACTGTTTAATAAGGGAAAGAGGGAGAAAGAAAAATACAAACACAAAAGAAGAAGGGGGAATGAAAAATCCTGGAAGAATTTACCTGTAAAATAATTAAGATGTGGCACTTCAACTGTATCCTGATAGTTTTGTAACTCAGTAATTAAAATGATTTCTACAATTCAAGTTATAGTGATCTTTATTTAGTGCTGAACCGGGAAATGTGAAGACTGGGAGTGCTCATTTCACTTGACACCTTTCCACTAGCTAATTGCAGTAGGCAGTTAATAACCATATCTTTGGCTTTGGTAGTCTTCATGTTCATCTCTTGTGATAACTTCATGCTGATTTGATCTACATTTGTCATTATGAACTCTGAAGTCAAGATTTGAGTGGGAGATATGCTGCTGTCCATCACATCCATGATATATTGTTTATAAAGCTCTACCACTTTCTCCTCCAAATAATTATTCAGAATTGAGTTTGAGAGAGGCTGCTGATGTTGCATGATGCTGGCCACCCGCCAGCATGATGAATTCCTTTGGGATGGTTTCCATGGGATCTCAACAGGTAGCATTGGAATTGAATCTATTGGCAATGGAATCTCTGATGATTCCAAGAATGGGCATATCCCACTGTCAAAAATAGCATCTCTTTTAACTGAATTCATTGGTAGCACCTGATCACCAGCAATATGCAGGTCACTATAGTTCTTACAAATGCTTTTACAAGAAGAAGGAACAAGGTAAGTGTCCTTGCTTATGGATGATCCCACATAGATTTCCATAGGTTCAGATGCTTGCCTTTCAAATACTGGATATTGAATAATTTGTGTCAATGTGTCTTTCTTTTGTTTATTATTTTTGGGTTTTTTGGAAGAAACAGAAATCATAAATGTGTCCATTGACCTATAATTCCAAAATAAGCTTCTACTTTGCATGTTGTCTGTTGATTCATAAGTGGCACCATTTAATGACTTTAATTCCTGTATTGCCTCTTCTGTTTCTGCTCCATAGTGCGTGGAATTCAAGAGCTCATGATAAGGGATTTTACAGAGATATCCTTCAGACAGCATTCTTTGGGGAGGGAAGAGAAGAAAGAAAGATTATCAGAACATGCTAAATATTACTAATAAAACAGAGCTGACTGCGAGGTTGCTGGCTGAAATATCTGACATGGTATTTGATCAAATATAATGAGTATGATATCTAAAGTCATTCTTAATTAATCATAATCATTGTTTCAAAGCTCATAAAAGTTAAAACAAGACAAACCAGCCATATTGTATACATGTCATTATTGATAAATTGGAGCCAAATTCTATTAGGGTAGCCACCCTCTTTATTTCTCAGTATGAAGACCATAACAAAGGAAGACTAAATCTGATCCTTTCCATTAATTATACAACAAACAGCTGTCAGGAATTTGCTGAGCCACTCACTACCAGATAAAAGAATTCTGCTTTTGCTAATTTGGAAAGTACAAGGACAGCATTACTATGCTGCATTTGTCAGCTACAGTGATTTTAATAACAGTCTTTGGCCTTGGGAATTCTAATCAAAAGAAACAAAGGCCAAAAATAGCACTTCAGAAAACCCCCAGCAAAAGAATCTAAAATACCTAAGAATTATATGTTGCAAATCACATTTTTTTAACCAATAAAATGTTTTCATTTTCCTTTTTTTCCCATTCCACATCCTGTTTTTTTAATTGTGAACCTGCAAAAAAAGGGCTTTCCTTCTATTTTGAATTGCTTGTATTCGAATATAGGCTGCTGTGGAAGACAATAGTTTCTGGGGAAAAGTTGTGTTTTTTAAGCAATATATAATTTTTAGCATATCTGAACAGTTTGGTTAATATTGGTTAAGCTTAAAATATTAGTAAAAGTTCTCAAAATTATTTGAAAAATAATAAATATTTTACAATAATTTGACCCAAATATAGAAAACAAATTAATCATCAAGTGTTTCTTTAATAGTATTTATGCACTTAAAATAAGTTCTAAAAGAAAAGAATATCTGTAGCTAAAACTTGAACTCTGGAGATCTTTGTGCTCTCTGACCTTGGTTGTTTGCTTGTAGATATTTCATTACTCAACTAGGTGACATATCAATGAGTATGGGATTTGTTGCCTGTCTATATGTAATAGCTTGCCCTGCCAGTTTGGGTGGAGATGTAATTTCTCCTTGGTGGTTTCTTTGATCAGGTTATTGTTTTCTGCACAATTATTTGCCTGGCGCTGATCCATTATCCGAATGTAGGCTGATAAAAGGGGATATGTTGTAGTTCTTTTGTTTGCATCCTAGGGTTTGTATTATCTCTTTTAAAAGTTGTGTAACTATGGTTTATGTCTATGTATTTACTGGTGACTGATTTGCCTGAATGTAAGCTTCTAGGAATTCCCTAGCATTTTTTGGATTTGGCTTGGTTTAAGAAGCTAATAGTTTCTCTGTTGAAACTGTGTTTGAGTTTGTCCGCAGGTTATGTGATTAAGGATTTTTCATCATGCCTTCTGCAGCTGCTTGGTGTTTTGGTGCACTTGGCTAGTCTATTTGTCCTACATAGATGACTGTTGCAGTCTTTACATTGTACATGATCCTTTTTTCTTCTTGGGCTATTGTCATTTGATTTTATTAAGATGTTTTGCAGGGCTTTAACCAAAATCTCTTGAGCAATTTTGCATTGAAATGTATCTGATATTTTTGGATAGCTTTAATGATCTTTTAAGCCAGAGGTCCCCATCCTCTGGGCCATGGCCCAGTACTGGGCTGCGGCCCATTTGCAACTGGACCATGTGAGTGGCAAGCCAGCATGCACATGTGAGTAGCTCAATTCATGTAAGTGACAGGCTGGTGTGCATGTGTGTGAAGCTCAACTTGCACAAGTTGAGCTGCACACGCATGCGTGTGCATACTGGCTTGCTGCTCACATGACTTGACCTGCACATGCACGCATGCATACCAGTCCACCGCTTATGTGATTCAGTTCCCCTCTTCCCCACAGCTGGGCCGCCAAACCACAAAGGTTGGAGACTGCTGTTTTAAGCAATAAAGAATGGATAGTTTAATTGTCACACCTCTTGGAAAACAATAGAAATGTTGAAAAAGTTTAATAAAAATATTATTTAAAAAAAGAAGAAATGTGACAATGTATATTTATATGCTAATATATATTATATATATTACATATGTTTATATATAAATATATATAAACATTTCTTTAAATGTTGTCTAAGCTTGTTTGTTTGCTTGTATTTGTTTCATACCCAACTAGGTAACATTATCATAGTTAATAGTATACTGTTTACTGCCAGTTTATAAGTAATAGTTTGCCCTGAAAATTTTGGTTGAGGTCTAGTTTTCTCCTTGATGGTTTTACAAACCTGGCTACAAAAAGATAGAATTGACATTGGATTTCCTGAGGAAGTTCAGTACTTTCCTGGCACGGTGTCAGGTTTCATCTAATAGGCAGGATTGGAAACAAATAGGCAAGCTCATAAAATGCAAGATTTCCAGCTATCTTTATTTAATGAAGAGTTAGGAAAACATAACAAAATTATTCTAGTGACTGTTATGTTTCAAGAGCAAATCTTATTGTAGGATCAAACTCTTTAGCACCCTTTTCTCATTGATACCTATGCAACAGCTAATGGGCCTTTTCTTTTACAGGAGTAATCCAGTTTCTTATTTCATTTGTTTTTGCAGTCATCTGATTTGTGAGGGATCTCACGAAGAATGATGGTTCGTTGAGGGCGCTTCCAAGAAAAGGTCAGCACGCAAGGATGCAATCAAATTAAGTCTTTATTTAGAAGTAAAAGTGGAGTAAAATAAGTTCCCAGGCATAGAGGCATCCATGCCTGGATTGAGCCCATGGATCAGTCCCATAGGAGAGTAGAACAAGAGCAGGGAAAAAGGGAAAAGGAAAAAGCAGGGAGCAGCCCCTGTGCAGGGGTTCTTATAGGAGCCCCTGGCCCCTCTCTTACCCATGTGTGTGAGGGGGCTGGAGGGCCATTAACTTTCCCCAATGGGGCTGCAGGGGCTGGAGCCCCTTGACCCACCAGTGGGATCAAAGGTGCCTCTTTGCTCCCATCTGGTGGCCTTTGAAGAGACTGCCATGGCTGGCACAAAACACCTAACAATTCCCCTTCTTGCCAGCCAATGACAGGTGCCGGTGCATATGTCAGAGAAAGTCTTTGGGGTGACCATGACGCTGTTGACAGATGCGACATGTCCAATGTCGATTCTCTTTGGTGGGACCCCCTTGTTGGACCGCTTTGACCTTCTGACCTCCTGCCACTCACCACCCTTTTCTTCTGCGGGTTTTTCACCAACTGGCTGTTCATGACCGGGATGTGGAGGCCCTCGGTCCCAGACATTGGGCATCATGGGCCTCTGGAGTGTTGCTGGAGGCAAAGAGTCAGGTGAAGATGGCGTGTCTTCCCCCTCAGGACTGGACGGCTCATCCTCCTCATCTGGACCAGGTAGGCTGACCTCTTTGTCCTGTTCCTCGCTCTCGTCGGTGGCCGGGTCTGTGGTTGTCTCAGGCGGTGTCCTGGTTGATGTAGCTTTGCTGGGCCGGTTAATATATGGACCCAGATCATTTGAGTGGATCTGGGTCCAATTGGAGTCCTCTTCGAAGGAGGCAGATTGGGAGGTCACAGTCCTGCCTCCTTCTCCCAGGAATCAGTAGGCCTTGGAGCCGGGGGTATAGCCCAAGAACCTCAGTCTCTGGGAGGTGGATCTCCCCTTCTTCTGCAGCTGCTTGGGGATGTGCACCCAAGCATAGGAGCCAAACGCACGCAAGTGTCCCAAACTTGGCTTCCTCCCATGGACCAGAAAATATGGGGTCTGGTTCACAATGCTGCTCCAGATGCGGTTCAGGGTGTAGTTGGCATAGTGTACCGCCTCTGCCCAGTACGATTCCGCAACCCCAGCATCCGCAATCAGGCTGCACACCATGGTCTGCAGAATGCCGTTACATTTTTCTGACACACCATTCTGCGCAAGTGTAAAAGGCGCTGTACAAAAATGATGTATGCCCTTATGTCTTACCCAGTCCTGGAACTTTCGGGACATGAACTCAGCCCCCCGGTTGCTCTGCAGCTGTGCGATCTTGGTCTTGTACTGAGTTTCCACATAGTTGTACAGTGACTTTATGGCATCAAAGGCTTCAGACTTTTCCGTGAGGGTATACACATGGCCATACCTCGAGAAATCATCAACGGCAGTGAGGAAATACTGCCTCTTTCCTAGGGACGGTGTAAATGGCCCAACCAAATCAACATGTATTAATTGATATGGGTATTGAGTTTTACACAGTGACACCTTAGGTATTGGGGCAGCCTTCCTCTTTGCCCTCTTACAGATGGCACAGTCCAGAAACACCTCACAATCCTGGAGATGAATCCCCTCAGTGAATTCCCCCATCTTTTTAACCACTGGGAAGCTCGCATGGCCTAACCTCTGATGTAAGAGGTGGGCACATTTAGTATGTAGCGGCTTTCCCACTGACACCCCCTTGGCTCTGGTTGCCTTGGGCGGTACTGGCACCTTAGGCCCTTTTTTAGGCTTATCTGCCTTAGGTGCCTGATGAGGCTCGGGTTTCTTGCCTGCATTGGCCTTGGAAGGCCGTGGTGCTGGTTGAGGCGGCGTGGGCACAACTGCCTCAGTCTTGTGCATCTTTGACAGCCTGGGAGCTGGCTGTGGAGACTTTCTCTCTCTCTGCGCGCAGGCCCCTTCTGGGGTGGCACCCTCTGAGCTGTCTCCTGTGGCTGGGTACTCGGGGGAGAAATATGGCAAACCATTTATAATGATAACATTCTCAATGACCCTTTTGTCTCGAGTGACATGACCTCCCCCTTTGCGAAACAATACCTCCATCCTGCCATCATCACATAGCTTGGTTATGCTTAACAGGTTATTGGCTATAGAGGGAGCATGTAATACACCTTCAACATTGCCCAGCCCTGGTACAGAGACAGTGCCCTCCCCAACAACCAAAGCATTGTTACCATTTGCAACCTTAATGGAGGAGTTAATTCTCCTTAACCTCCTTAGCCTTGCCTCAAGTTAGCAA